GTACTTACGCGCGAGCACATAGAGCTAGAGGACTTAGGTACCGTAAACTCGGCCATGCAGCGGCTAAAAGATACGTATTAAAACTTTGACTCAGATGAAGTAAGGCTTACCGAGCGTGGCGGCAGAGTCCTCATAAGCGTCCAAGACCTGAGATTTCCTGACAAAAAACCGCTGGACGAAACCGCAACCCCTTTTTGATGAAGATGGTGAAGTTAGGGGTGACGTCTCAAGATTAAAAGGCTTCCAGCGTGCCACTAGAAGCCTATTAGACCGGCTGGAGGCGTTAAACGAAAAGGCTGCGTTAGATAGGCGCGCTGAGGGGCTACAAGAAACGTTGGAAGAAAGGGAAGCAGAATACATGAGACAACACCGACTACTCCTTGATGCTCAAAAGAGAGAACTTGACGACAAGAATCAGCGAATGATAGAAATGAGAGAACAAAGAGACAATGCCCTACGCGATAGAGACCAGGCCCAAAAGGCCTTTGAGCTTGCCCTACGAGACCTGGACATGAGCAAGGAAGAAGCTAAAAACTTGCATATCACCATAGCCGGCTCTTTGGAGGAACGGCGGCAGTTGGTTGCCGAAATCAATACTAAAGAAGAGCAAATCCGGCAAAGAGATCAGGCCATCGAAGACTTGGAAAGACAAATAGAACAACAGCAGGAGGTAATCAACGACCAGGCTCATCCCGAAGAGGAAAGGGAAGCAGCTCAAAAGGAAGTAGAAACCCTCGAGGTACGCCTTGCGGAATTACAGGCACAAAAGGAAAACTTGGAAAAGGAGTTCGGCCTTACCACCAAGGAAAAGGTAAAAAGGGCTCTGGTGAAGTATGGTATTCCGCTGGCATTCGCGGTCGCTATTTCAAGCGTAGTAGGAGTTATCCTATCCGCACTTAAGGCTACGGGCGCAGGCGTGAAAAAACTGGGTTCTGGTTTGACGGACTTGGGAAAAAAGATGGCAGCCGGCTTGCCTGGGCTGCTTGGTAGCGTTCTTGGCCTGGCACTTAGGGCCGGCGGGGAACTGTTGAAGTTCGTGGGGAATAACATTTGGATCTTGGTTGTCGCTATTGGAGTGGTCCTCCTGAAGAAGATGCGGGGTTGATCTTATCCTTGTGTATTACTGGGGGCTTATCGTCGTCAGACCTTCGAGGCGTCCTCGACTGGGGATAAGTAAAGATAGTATTCGCGCCGCCTTGATAATGCGGAACTAGCGGTATAGCAGTCATAGTAGAAATGGGCTTATGATTCCAGGCATCATCCACCTCGGTACCGGTTCTCGACCAGATGGCATTTATTCTGAATAAGCCTTTTGGGGAGCCTGAGGGGTGACCATCGCTGGGGCGAACTTGAAGCTTC